GGGGGGGGGGGGGAAGACTGATAATCCAAATGACATGATACTATATTCATACAGGGTGAAATGCAGTATAAACAAGAGATGTCAGCAGTTCACATTGATGTTCAATGAGAAGGTGCAGAGCATTAGCAGCAGATTTTGCAACTTACTCTAGTGCTCATAATTAACCTTGTACATTCAGTTTTGCAATTGACTGCATTATCTATGATGGATGGCAAATGATAATACTTTGATACTATGCTACCCTTGTTGCTGAGGCCAGGCAAAACAGAGGTCTAAATGGTATGATTTGCATCTGGCATTAGCTGAAGGCACAACTGTTTGCTCAAGAAAATCTGTATCAATTCTTAAAAGGTGCTTTCCCTTCCAATGTTTTTCTATATTGAGTGTTTAAATATGTATTTATATTTAATATCAAGTATTTTAAAGGATTTGTAACTGAGCATATTTAAGTTTTCTTCAGTATTTCAGTCCTGTCCCTAATTAGAAATAGGCTCTGTGAACCGTTTTTTGGCTGTGTTTAGAATTCTAGTGCTGCTATCACAAGCTCTGCTGGCACTCTCTCAGGCATGATCTGCTAGGAAATAATACCCCTTTATACAACACTTGCTGTTTGGGCCCAATTCAAATTGACACAATGGCAGAAAGGTAGTGTGCTTCAGTGTTGTATGTACCAGGAAGAGGCATATGAACCCCATTTAAAAGGTCACTCACATAAGTGGTAGGGAAAAAGGTTGCAACTCAATTTTAGTCATTATGAAATATAAATAAGAACAGAGAAGTTTGTTTTTGTAAAAATTCCTAATATATTTGACACATCAAAATAGAGTCTTCTCTTTCCTATTTTTTCTGTAAAGACTCTACAGACAGCTACAGAAGTAGCAGTGCTACGAGGTCACAGATACCAAGCAAGATCAGGCTGAGTAAGGAAATTATGTTTTGTAACACTGCTTGAAGCTTTTATTTTTTACTTGTTTGTTTGTCCCTATTTAACTTAGGCCACCAAAATACACTGAGAGAAATTCTGTCAAAGATAAAACACTGAACTCCAAATCCTCTACTTAACAGCTGAGAAAGTTCCAACTCCACACTGAAGGTATATCTACACTGCCTCTGGATTACAATGGATGCCATGTACCCATCAATAAACTCCATCTTGACTGTGTTTACTGGCATATGACTAGCACCATACTAAGGCAGCTACCATACACTGGTTTCAGGGTCTAGAGTGCATGAATTGGCATGTTGTGCATGTCTGTGGCACTCCCGGATATGATATGTAGGCGGTAAAGGCAGGCCTGAGACCTCTAGAAGACCTTTAGTAATCAAGGTAGAGATGCCACTTGATGCTACTGACCCTTCTGAGGGTCAACAAGTTGGGAGAAAAAGGGTTAAGAACCCTTCAGCACTTATTTCTCCATCATAAAGAAACAAACAAAAAAGGATATTGGCTTCACTTAAAACAAAACAAATCACTTCAGTTTTAAATGAGGCTTTCAGAATACCTTTCAAAGAGTTTCTGCAGTTACTTTGGGGTGTTATGTGCCATGTTTCTGGTATTCCTCTTCACAAGAGACATTTGGCTGGTTTTTCTTAGCTTTGCTCCAGAGCTGCTGTTATATACCCACTAACAATAGATGGGCAAAGATGGTAGCAAAAACTCTCACTAGAAGGGTAGTAAAACACTGGAATAGGCTACCAAGAGAGATTGTGGAATCTCCATCCTTAGAGGTTTTTTAGACCTCAAAGGGATGATATAGTTGGGGATGGTCCTGCTTTGAGGAAGGGGTTGGACTGGATGACCTCCTGAGGTACTTTCCAACCCTAATTCTCTATGATTACAGTGCTTTAATTAGCTGCTACTATAAAACATGTTTCTGCATCTTAAAATAAGGGAACACTCTGCTGAATCACTCCATTAGAGGGAGTTGACCTTAGAGAACTGACAATTAGGATACAACTCCGAGCATCAGGGCTTGTTTGATCTTCAACCTCCAAATAGCATCCTGTGAGTGGAAATGGATGCTGCTGGTAACATCTATTGTTTAAAACTGACCCAATCACTTTCATTTTTTTGTTTCTACAGCCATTCCTTTCCTACTCTACCTAGCCATAAAGATTCTAAATAGGATTTGAGGGAAAGAGAAAACTTACGTCAGTGCTGGAGAGTCCAATCCAGAGTGGGTAATTGTAATGGGCAGCTTGGACAGCAAGAAAGGCCTGTTGGTACTGATCTGTGATGCTAACCAGAATCATGTTATTCTCCCTGCACTTCATCATTGCATCAGACCAGGACAAATTTTTCAGAATTATTCTGTACTGGACATTTTGATAGTTCAATGTTTCATTAAGGACTGGCTGTGTCAGGTTTTCAGCATGACCTAGGTCTAAATCAAGAAATCCAGTCATTAGTAGGATAAACACTGCAATATATTTTGGTTCCCAGTTAATTCCACAATTACAGTGGCTAAACCCCTTTCCCTCCTTTTTGGAATTAACAAGATAGAATAAACAATTTAGGCTGCAGACTGTTCTTATAATTACTGTTAGGAACAAACAATTAGATCACAATTGCTAGAAAGTGTGTTTGGGAGGGGGGACAGGGTGAAGTGCTCTTTAATATAAAGTTCTTAGTCTTGTATATGTGTGAGCTTGGCTCTGTGGCTTTCCAGATTAATTTAGGTTTCAGTTAAAGTTTAAAGTTATTAAAGAAAAAGCAGAGTGTTTGGAGTAATTTAATATGGTAAGCTTTGCAGGACTGGTCACAGGTACTGTGACAATGAATAGGGGAAGCAAGCTCTGAACACTCTGATGCAAACATATCCAAGTCAAGACCCATTGGATCTGTGTTTTTATAAATGTAATGGGCAGTAACTCTAGTATAGTAAACCTTAGCTCTCCAGTCTGCAAGAAGAGTAGCCCCAAAGGGCATTGCTACAAGTCTTTCAGGTAGGAAGTAATGGATTTTATCTTAAGTTTGTGCATTCAAGTTTCCTGCACAAAACTAGTTGACTTGGTTATTGCACAGGGAGGGATGAAATTCACCAGACTTCTAATTATGGAATCTCAGACTGAACTGAATTGCCAGTAAATGCATACAATTAAATAATAATCTTATGCAAATAATTCAAAAAGCAAAATTTACATGGGTGAAGAATGGAACTGGAGAATGTGGATTTAATAAACCCCACAATAGTTTATGGACAGACCTCAGGTCTATATTTGGCCCTATAGTTTTGTCAGAGGATCATCAGTGTCTAAAATATTGGTGTCTCAGGCACACAAAAGCTCACCAGGGATAAAAATGACTCCATATAAAGGGGCTGATAGGCCATTTCCCAAAACACACACACAGAGCCATGCTATTAATTTGATGTTTATGCACCATTTGCAGCTTTCAGTGGATTAGACATGTGACATGAAAGAAACAGATTATTTGAAGTAGTTTGTTACTGTTGCCAAGTACTTTCATTTATTAAACGACCTCCAAAAGGGAATAGGAAGACCAAGAGGCTTCACACACTTAAAGGTGAGTGGTGAAGGGTTAATGCAGAAGGTATGCATTTCCCAAAGAATACACTGCTGTTTACAAATGTAATTAGCATAACATTTTGAAACAGTCATTTTGTATCCAGAATCCCAAGGAATCCGAGTTGCTGATCCCTTTGTTCCTCTACCTCAAAAAATTACATCACAACCATAAACGTAGGGCCATGAATGCCCTGGCACAGTGGAAAACAACTTCCCTTGCTGAGTCAACCTGAAATGTGGCCAGACTCAGCTACGGTCTCTGCACTCAAGACCCAACTGACTGCTCCTTCCCTGCATCCTTGTGGGCTTAGGGCCTCAGCAACCCAGAGCTGGCCAGACACAGCAGGCATAATACTGCAAAACGGAAAGCGCTTCTCCTGCATCTCATGTGTCATTTTTAGAGTCAAGTACAAGTAGAATCTGCAATCATTCTTTTCTTCTTCTCCCTAAGTCCTGCAACCATTTTAAATGTCCAGAGTCTTTTTAGATCATTCTGGGGTATATTTACAGCAGGGCCCATAAAGGGTTAAGCTGCAAACTCCAGGCCTCTGCCCTCCCACCACTCTCCTAGTTGCTCTTCCCATGGTGGGAGACATCCATGTAGCGTGTGGCTCTAGGGGCACATAGTCTGCTATGGTGTGGCCTAAGGGGATGCCTGTGGGGTATTCAGTTTCCAGTTGCTTAGAAGTTGGACTGCCCTGGCCTGCAGAGGGCTTCTCAACATCATACAGTTCTTTTCAGCAGGGTTAGTTAACTGGGTACAGCACTGTATTATGCTACTTCTTTATACTTTCTTAATTTATATATAGTTTTTTAAAAGGTGCATTTATTTAGGAAAACACATCCAAAAGTGGTTCTATTACATATTAAGTCCATAGCTGTTGTTCTATAGCTATTAAGCTATAATTATTCTAGACAGGGAATCTACTCCCATCCCAATAATCTTTGGCCAGCCACCTATATTGCTACACTGGAGCAGTCTTCTGAGTATTCCTAATGAGGAAAATCTCACACCTCTGGAACTGACCCCCTACTTTAAATCTGGGCAAGCATTACACATGCCAACTGTGATTCTCCTTGTCTACATAAGAGTTTGCATTAATACATTTCACACATGGCAGATATCAGGACTATATCCAAAGCGGAGATGATTCCTAAAATTACTGTATTAATACTGTTGAAGCCCAAGACACTCCACACTTGGAGATACCCCCATCTTATTCTGAAGGGGAAGAAAGATCGTTCACTAGATTTATTTATTCAATTTATATGTCACTGTTCCCAACAAGGATCAGGGTGGCTTGCAATGAGGCTCCTGGCAGACGTTCAGCTGAAGGTGCCATGGAATCTCATGCAAGATCACAACAATCGTGCTCTACTGCCAGTGCAGGGGTAGCCCGGGATCATGGGAACAAAACTGAACAAAAGAGGCAACAAGATGGAGGAAATGTCTCAAGGGAATGATGAACACACACCCATTACAACTTTCTGGGAGCTTCCTGCTAGGAAGGCATGGAACCAATTTAGAGTGGTCCTACAAATACACACCACGTTATGTGAATGAATAGGATCTATCCTTGAGACCTGTGGGTCTCCAGAGTATCCTCTGAAGATCAGGGCTCTCTCCTCAGGAGCCTTGTGCCTCATGCTAACAGCAGGGCCCTGGTGATCCTCCTTTATTCTCCTGCAGCATAGTTTTGTTGGAACTACACTACCAGGCCCTCTTAAGGTCACAGCTTTTATCCCTAACATAGGGGTTCTCTGCTGTGAAAGGGGATTACAAAAAAGGGAAATTTTGTAGTGAGGGAGATGTATTTTCCCAAGGCCTACCTTAGTATGGCTTTTTCCAGCAACAGCCCAATCAGTTCCCACACATCTCTTGTACATCAGAAGGGACAATACCCATGTATAGAGGGCATGGTCACAATCAGACCTTAAGCTAAATGCAAACTTACCCACTGGCTTCTGGCATATGCACAAAAAGTGTGTGTCACCACACGAAGTGAAATTCCATGCTCCAACATACATCATTTTGGGATCATTGAGCACTACAGCACACTGATTGTTCATTTCCTCATCATACAACTGAAAACCAGAAAAACTCATTGATCTAACCACTATGTCCCCTGCCCGCTTTCCCGCCAGCTCCTGTTCTGTTTCGGGGACGACCGCGCCTGGACCGAGGCTGTGGCCGGCTACTGCTACCACCTCTTCTTCGCCCTCCTCACTGGCTTCCTCTTCGCCTCCCACCTGCCAGAGCGCCTGGCGCCCGGGCGCTTTGACTACATCGGTGAGGTGGGGGGTGATGCTGTGGGC